AATCTGATGTCAGGTTGCTGAGCACTCCTGCCCTTTCTTTCCGTAATCTGCATTAAGTCACTGGGCAGGTGTTTTGAATTTATAGTAATGTTGCCCAGTAAGATTCTTTTGTTCCCACCATTAGAAAAATTGGCCTTCAGCTAAGGAGAAGAAAAATATTAATATTAATATTAATATATTAGGCCTAGAAGCACAGAGCAAGCATCTATTTAATGAGCCAACTAGTTACCTATCTATGGAGACATTCTAATCAGCAGTTCTCAAAATCCGGTGCATCTTAATCATCTGGGGGAACCCTAATAAAACCCCCAGAGAATGAGATTTGGTGGGTCTGAGGTGGGGGCCTGAGAATCTGCATTTCTATCCAGTTCCCAGGTGATGCCGACTCTGATGGTCTAAGCACCACACTCTGGGACCGCCCGTCTAAATACTGTGAAACATGAGCAGTATGTAAACAGACATTTGGTGATTTCCTCAATACCTTGCAACCTGGCCTTTAGATTGGAATCCAGATGGGCTGGTTTCAAGGAAGATGGTGATGTCCAGGAAAGGTAGTATGAAATTTTTAAAACTCCATGAAATTTTTACAGCTCTTGTCACGTCTGGTTTTGTTGGCCTGGGTCTGGCTGGCTGTTTTGGAGTTGGCTGGTTCAAAAGGATGTAGTGTGTTGCCATGACAATATTCTTCTCCAAGCAGGAAGGCCCCCGAGGTTGGTCCTGCACAACTGACCGTGTATTTCTTGTGGCTTTTCCCTTGGGGAGCTTCAGGGTTCCCATCCGTCACTCCTGGTTGGTGTTCCTGGGAACCTGGGGAGAGTCAGGAGGCTCTAGGCCCCCTCTTCACTCAGCCTGTAGATGAAGTGAGCTTTCTTTGTCAAACCAAGGCCCAGCTTGCTTAGGGCCATGGATCAGATTAAGCTAATTTGGGTACAAAGCGGAAGTGGTTGGCAAGGGCATCCCAAGGCCATGGGGAAGGTGCTTTCTGCTCCTTTAATTAGCAGCTCTTGCCTTGTAACACTATGTGTGGATTCTCAGCTAAGGAAGGCATGCCTCTCCTGCAGCACTTAGCATGAAGGTTGGTACCTCCAAGGATGCTGGGCATGGCAGAGATGTCTGTCGCACGTGACTGCCATGGGATCCCTTTGTTCTCTGCCCAGGGTTCTCCTTGAAGGACAGGCAGATATCCTGGTATTCTTCCCTTAGGGTGTGGCACACATGGCGTCCAGGTGGCCACAGCTCACCAGAGGACAGTTCAAGGTGTGGCTCTGCAGACCTTGTGTGGTTTGCACTGGGGTTGCTACAAGCCCACTCCTTTCCTGTGTACGTCCCTACAGCTGAGACAGACCAATTCGAGGACCCAGGTTTGAACATCAGGGGAGATCACAATAGATTTTCAAAGAGGGAGTTACTAAAAATGATCCCCGGAGAGTTTCTCTGGGATAATTTTATGGTCACATTGGACCAGGTGCAAAGCTGGTGGGTACCCATGTCTGCCTTCGAATGGAGATGGGAGGCTGGGACAGAGGCCTGGCCCTGGGCCGTGTATTTTGCTGTTTAATCTGGGTTGGTTAGTTACACGTTGGCTCTAGGAAAATTTATGTCAAGTTTGTGTGACGGCCTTCATGTGTTACTTAGGAATTAAGCATCTTCTCTGATAATGGGTATTACCTTGGGGGACCCGTGCTATAACCTGAATGGATGGGAAGGACAGGAGCTAAGAGCAGATTCCTAAACCCAGAATGTCCAAATTCAGTGAGTCCAAAGGGAAGAGATGAACATTGATAAACCAGATGCCTGACATACGTTCTTAACATAATCCTTGAAACAGCCAACTAGGACGTTTAAGGCCCATTTCCCAGGTGAGGAAACTTGAGATTTGAGAGGTCAAGAAGTAGGGCACCTGGCTGGCTCATTTGGTGGGGCCTGTGACTCTTGATCTCAGGGTTGTGAGTTTGAGCCCCACATTAGATGTAGAGATTATTAAAAAAAAAAAAAAAAAGTCAAGAAGTGACCTGCCCAAGGATACCAAGCTGGTTAGGGTACACTTCCCATCTCACCTACCTAAAATACTGTCTTCCATCAGATTTTCTTTCTCTATTCCCTCCCACCAAACTTTATCTCCCTTTTCCAGAAGTATCTGTGTTCTGGCTTGAAACCATTTCATGAGCAGAGAGATCTATTTGCTTTTAAGCAGTTAGACCCATTATTATGCCTCTAGATTAGGATTATCAAGATGTTGTGGAATTATCCACCCTGTTATACTTTTCTAAAATATATTTTTTAAAAAGATTTTATTTATTTGTTTATTTATTTACTCACTTACCTATTTGGGAGGGGGAGTGTGCATGCAAGCTGGGGGTGGGAGGGGGGAGGGAGAGGGACAAGCAGACTCCGCACAAAACACGGAGCCCGACACGGGGCTCAAACCCACCACCCAGAGACCACGACCTGAGCCTCCAGAGTCAGATGCTCAACTGCCTGAGCCTCCCAGGCGCCCCTAATATACTTTTTAAATTAAAGCTTAACAGACCTACAGAGAAGTACACAGATTGTAAAGTGTTCAGATTAATGGCTTTTTATAAAATGAACCCAACCGGTAGAACCACCACCCAGATTAAGAAATAAAAACCCAGTTACATTTTCATGCTTCCGAGCCTTTTGTTAGTTTTTGCCAATGGGAACCTCTGGCTAGACGTATATTCTAACTGGGCTGTCATAATTTTTGTCCCCCCCAACTCTGTCATGGCAGTATTGGAAGATCCCCTAAAATGCTGGGTAGTTACAAGTCAGCTAATGAGTCCGTTTGTCACTAGTGAGTCCTCTTTATAGATGGCCCAGGACTTCAAAGGGGACTTCAGACACCCCCCAGGAACGAGGTAACGGTAACTCCTGTGTTTAAGAGAGTTTAAGAACAGAAGAACAGCTTATCTTATAAGTGAAACTCAGGGAGGCTGAAGAATTTGCCCACAATCTCACATCAAGGAAGCAGGTCCAACAGGCAGTGATTCCTACACAGTGTGCACACGCACGTGCACACATGCGCACAACCCCCCCCCGATGCATGCTATCTGAGAAGTCCCCATTGAAATGGATCCTGACTAGGAAGGAAGCCATTGGCAGGAGGGTCTGTACGGAGCCGGTGAGGTCATCCCCGTGGAGGCTGCCCACTAGCTCTAGGACTTGGCTCCCTCCACTCCAGATGCCCGTCTGCTCTCAAGGGGGCCACTGGCAAAAAGACAGCCCTGTTCACCCATCATGGCATGTTGGGAAAGTTGCTGGATGAAACCAAACCCTGTCTATGGCCAGAATGTTCTGTGAGCAGGTGTCCCATTTAGCACCACCTCTCTTTTCCTTGGACTACAAAGACGGAGGTCCCAAACCCGCTCTGCTACTTACCAGCCCCTATGCCACAGGCGGGTCCTGACCCTGACAACCTCCCAGGCTTGTTGCAATGTTCAGGCCTATCAGAGCTGGGGGGAAACTTTGCAAACGACAAGGCACTCTGTAATCATAATACTTATCCAGCAGGTCCTATGGGCCGGGCAGGCGGCTAAATGCTGCAGGGGTATCTCCTTTACTCCTCTCCGTAGCTTATATGGGAAAGGTGCTTCTGTTAGCCCCATTTTCCAGGTAAAGGACTTGAGGAGTAGAGAAGCAAAGTTACTGCTCGGGGCCACACAGCCACTTCAGTGATGGGCCCCATGCCGACCGAGGGAGAGTTTATGTCTAAGCCACCTTGCCTGCCTGCCGCTTACAAGCAGTCAGTCATTTGGTAGCTATTTTTTGAGCCTGTTAAGTATCAGGCATTGCTCTAGGTGTTAGGGAGGCTGCCTGAGCCCACATACGAAGCCCACACCCTCCCAGAGCTGACGTTCTTGAGCCATGAGCAAGATCCTTTAGGAAAGAATTCTCTGGGAGGTTTGTGTTTTTGGACACTTTTAGAGAGAAGCCCGCCTCCTTTCGCCCCAGTCCTCCCCCGACACACACACACACACACACACACACACACACACACACACCTGCTTGCTCTTCATTGTTGAAGCCCCCCAGAGTTCTCCAATGAGGGAGATGAGGGAGATGATGGCTGAGAGCCGGGTGTCCCCAAGTCTGTGTGTCTCCGACGCCCTATGAATAAAGACCTCACCAAGCAGTCCACTCCCTGAGGGACCCCAACCGCATCCCCTAGCCTCATGCCCTGCAGTTTCCCTGCTCCTGCCCAGCGCCGCTGGTGGGAGCATGGCAGGTGTCTGCCCAGCAGCAGGACCCCATCTCAGCCCCGGCGCACCTTCTCAGGGCCAGCAGACAGCACTCAGGCCAGCCTGATAAAAGGCTCGGGGGGCCCCCTTGCTCACGAGGCCCTGCCACCTCCACGTGGCCTTGTGTCTGTTATTCTCTGTATCTCCAGACACAAAGGGCCTGGGTCTGTTGCGGGCGCTCAGCTGCCAAAGCGGGGAGGGCGGGCAGGGGTGACGAGCTTTTCAGAAAGGCCAGGGTAGAGGCAGGAGTCACCCAGGTGATCCAAGCCGTTCCCCGGGGACCCCAGCCCAGGACCACAGTGGAAGGTTGCTGCTAATTGGCGAGCCCCTGATGGGCTACATCTACTTAGCACCCCCCTCCCCAGAGACTTCCAGGATGGTCTTGGCACAGCATGTGATGCGAGAGCTCCCCGCCCGAGTCTGGCACAATCTGTCTGAAATTGTGAACATGGAGCCTCTTGGTTTTTTAATTTGTAGTTTCGTTGTTGTCGTTCTCTGCTCATTGTTTCTGGGAGATTGGTATCGGTGGCTACCCTGACTCTGGTGCCCCCAGCCCTGGGGCCCTCTCAGCAGGCTCCTTCCACGCCCCCAGCCCTCCAGACCTACCACCAGAGGCCTTGCGGGTCAGGGAGCAGCGCCGTCCCTGCCCCCGCCCCCCGCCCCGACCCTTTGCCAGGCCTCAGGGCCCAGCTCTCACCCCGCCATCATCCCCGCCACTGACACAGCTTGTCCGCCCTGTCGCAGGGGGCAGATGGCCTGTCGGAGCCGGAGGGCATCTCTCTGAAGCGGGTCGCTGTGGTGGAAGATTTCTTTGACATCATCTACTCGATGCACGTGGAGAGCTCGGCGGAGCCAGGCAAAGCCCCCAAGCACGCTGGGCAGAAGAAAACCTACCGAGCGGTGAGATGTCTGTCTCTGGGCCTCTGCGGGCAGCCCCGGGCCTTGGCAGGAGGCCACGGGCTCCGCACATGTTGGGCGGGGGCAGGGCAGGGAGCTGAGGCGTGATGAAACGGCCTTTGGGGACCCAGGGGGGCACAGGGCAAGGGCACGGCAGCCAGAGATGGCTCAAGGGGGGCGAGGGGGCGGGTTCTGTGGTCTGAGCACAAAGGAGAAGCAGGTTGAAGAGGGTGAGGGAGGGAAGGCGAGGGATGAGGGCAGGAGCAAAGCCCTCCTCTTCCCAGTTTCTGCTTCACTTGTTCCCTCCCCCCAGCCCCCTGCAGCCGGCTCTGGGACTGTGGGGGTAGGGGTGGCCAGATAATAAGACTCGAAAGAGCCAATGCTTCCACGGCATTTACCGTGTGCCAGGCCTGCCCTAAATGCTTCCTGAGTGTGTGAGTTCATTCGATTCCCTACCCCCGTGTGAAGTCTGGACTGGAAGTTCCCCAGGGGAAGTCTGGGGACATGGGCCCTACCTCCAGGGAGATCACAGTTCGACTTGGGGTGGGGAGGCTGAGAGCAAAACCAAGACATGAGAACCAGAAATGTCTCCAAGACTAGCTTTGAGGGAACAAGAACCCCCAGGGCATTCCGCAAAGGCGTCTCTAGACACTGACGTTCAGTGCTAAACCAGGGGGTGCTTCATGGAGAAGATGGCATATAAGCTGGCATTCTAAGCTTGGGTAGGCAGAAGGGAGCTGAGACGGTGGGAAACGTCACACATGGGGAGGTAGAGGAGACGGGGGCCAGAGCAGGAGGGGCCTACCTGGGTTCTGTTCCCATCCCCCTGTTCACTGCCATTGCCACGACTCAGGCATAGCTCTGACCCCGAGACCCACCACTAAGTCAGTAAAGCCAAGCACTCTAACCACTAAACCAGTAAAGCCAAACATCTCTTGGGATGGAGGCACTATGGTCCCATTTTGCAGTTAAGAAAACCAAGGCCTAAAAGTTGATCTACCTGTCTAAGGTCACATAGCACTTCAGTGGCTGTCAGCTGGTGTCCTCATGTCCCCTATGTGTTGACGCTCTCTCTCTGGCTTCTTAGAGAACTGCCCCTCTCACCGGCCTTCCCGACCCAATGCAGCTGTGAACTCCAACCCCACCCCCACCCCAACCCCCAAGGTCTTCCTATAAATAGCCTTGGACTGCTGTGGAGGTGGCCTGTATATTTTCCCATATGGCCTTGTTTTTTTTAAATTCCAACCATCTGGTTTGTCCTTGTCCCCAGAAGGTGGCCTTTGCCCTAAATGAGTCTTATGGATGGACCCATGTGCCCAAGAACCTCAGAAGATGAGGGGCTGGGCTGAGAGAGGCTGGAGATGATTCTACCACCCGCCCTCCCCCTCCTGCTTCTCAGTGCATGTGTGATGAGACAGGGAATCCTGAAGGTCTTCCCCCCAGAGGGTCATAGATGAAGGGAGAGACGCCTGAGCCAGAGCCTTTGTGGCCCCTTAGTATTCACGAGACCTAGCACATCTTCTCATTGTTCAGTCTGCCGGTGCTGGGCAGCCTAGCACCTCCCGGCCACAGCCCTCTGAGCCTTCACGTGGACCAAGGGTGCATATATGAAGCCGGGGCTCCTGTGTTCTTCATTTTACAGATGAGGAGACTGAGGCTCAGAGGGACACATAATCTGCCTTGAGGTCGCCCTACTGTTGTTCAGAGCCAGGCTGCTGGCCCCAGAGCCCATGCCCTGGCCACCTCCCACTCCTGCCTCTCTATGAACCCCGCTGTGGTCAGCTAGTAAGCCCGATGACTTGCTGTTGTCAAGGTAAATGGGCTTGGGCCAGCCAGACCACGTGGTTTCCCTGGTCTCCTTGATGACCAGCACCCAGCCTCATGCCACAGGCACTCCCAGGGTATTTATTTACTTATTTATTTTAAGATTTATTCATTGGAGAGAGAAAGAGAGAATGAGTGGGGGAGGGGAGGGACAGAGGGAGAGGATCTCAAACGACTCCCTGGTAAGCGAGGAGCCCTGAGCCTGAGCCCTGATGCCGGGCTCCATCTCACAACCCTCAGATCATGACCTGAGCCCAGAGTCAGAGGCTTAACACACTGGGCCACCGAGGCCCCCCTCCCTGGGTATTTAGGAAGGCAGGGTCTGCAGCCTCGGTGCTGTAGAGAAGACAGGGCTGGACTGGTCCCACCAGCCTCTGTGTCCCTGGGCCAAGCGGACGTCCAGCCCTTTGCTCTGCACTTCCTGGCTTCTTGTCCATATGCCCGCCGCGTGCCCCACTTCCCGCTGCCCAGCCCGGAGCTGGCACATGACTGGCAGCGGGCCAGCTGGGCTGCGCACAGAGCTGGAATTTCAGCAGCAGGGCCAAGGCTGAGTGGAGCAGGCCAGGGCCCTCCTGCCGTGGGTGTGAAGGCCAAGGGGGCTGCTGCACCTCCCTCCTCCCCGGTGTGCCTCCTCTCCCTTCCCCCTCCTCTTCCCCATCTGTCACCCTTCTCTTGCCACCCTTTTCCTTTTTTGGGGGTGGGGGTGGTGCCTGGAGGCTTTTGTCCCCCTTCTTTTCATCTGATCCCAGGCCTAGCTCTTCAGTCCCATCCTTGCCCTCCTGGGAAAGAGCCCCCAGGGGAACTCTGTGCCGATGGCAGCAGAGAGGCTGAGCCTGGCACCGTGGGGTTTGCATTGAGCCCCCGGCTGAGGGTTTTTGGACCTTTCTCTGTGTTTGGCCAGACCTGAATCCTGGGACTGCCTTGCCATCTCTAGGCCACTGGGGGCCTTCCAGATTCTTACAGGCCTGAGGCGCCTGCAGGAAGCAGGGGGCTGGGAGGGAAACGGGCAGACTTGTTCAAGGGCATCAGAGGAGGCACATTCGTCTGTGGGAAAAGGAAGCTCCTGGCACCCACCACTATCCAGCAGTAGATCAGAGAGAGCAGGTAATGAGCTTTCTGACACTGAGGGTATGGGCCAGGGATAGATGGCCATTTACAATGGGTAATGCAGGGGATTCCCATTTGGGGCAGGAAGTCCCCTGCCATACTTTGCCTCTGATGCAGTGTGACCAGGCGATCCAGAGGATCCCCAGGGGAACTCGCCCCTGCCCCCGGGGTCTGGGGAGGGTTCCAGGTGGTTCTACAAATTCCCTGATCCTACACAGAGGACAGGTCCTTTTTCAAGGGGCTTTTTAGGGAGTCTGTACCCATCTGGGTTGGAGCAAGCTCTTTGCTTCCTTCCTCTCTCCCGGGGTGCCGGTAGGCTAGGCCGAGCGTCAGAGTCTGGAGCTGGCCGCCCAGACCACATTGGAGTTGGGGCCAGATGTGGTCAGCAGCTGCTCCAGGCCCACCACGTGCTAATCCACCACAGGGCAGCAGGAGGATCTTGTAAAGTGGTGCAAATCCCCCCAATTGGCCTCATCTGTCCTTGTCGGCCCTGGAGCTAGGGAGCGAAAATGGGGCCTTACAAGTCAACGACTCTGCAAATAGCTTCTGCTCTCCCTGCCCGTGAAATCCCCCTTCGTTTTACCACTGGGAAAAACGCGAAAGGGCTCAGTGTCCAGGCAGGAGGCCCTAAGTGCAAGGCAGCAGGCTGCTGGGGGAAGCGGGGTGGGGGCAGGGGTCCTGGGGCTTCCCTTCCTTGAACACAGCAGCTCTGTCTTTACCTGTTTCACATTTTGGCTTCACACAAGAGACTATTTCCAGAACTGTGTCTGGAGCTCCAAAACTATCCGAAAACCACCTTCCTATTGACTAGGGAGGGCATAAGCGAGGATTGTCCTCCTCCTTTCAGCTCGTCCTGGGGGCCTCTGTGTCACGGTGGAACAGGAATGGAGGTCCCATTTCCTATGTGGACAAGCCAGGAGAGTGAAGGCTGAAGGCCCCACGGGGCCCTTCCCCCATGCTGGCCTCTACAGCAGCATGGAGCTAGGCAGGCCTCTGCCCCCCCAACTGACCCCCCCCACTCACCCCCCGCAGCTGGTCGAGGCTGCAGACCTTCCAGCCCCCCAGGGCAGGGCTTCCAAGGGCTTCTCCCCCAGCCTTCTCCAGTCCACTCCACCTGCTTCTGTGTGGCACCCAGGGCCGGAAGCCACATGCCCAGCGCTCCCTGCCTCGTGGCCCACCAGCCAGCTTGGCGCACTGCTGGGATCCCTGCCGAGGCCAGGAGAGCTGGGGCTGCCACTCTGGCCCCTGGGCTGGGCCCTCTCTGGGAACTGCACCTGGACCCTCCTTGGCGGGTCAGGTGGCAAGTGGGGCCTCTGCTCGTGCTGCAGGCCGCCCTTTCCAGAGCAGCCAGGCCAGGAAGGCCCTCCTTGAGCGCTGGAGAAATGATTTCTCTGCCCAGCAGCCGGTGAACTCCGCAGAGCAAAGTCAGGCTATTCCTATGGCAGCAACTTCCCTCCTTTCCCAGCGGACTGTGACACTCCTCCCCCAGGTCCTCAACTCATCCTGGAGGTCTGACCTGGGATGCCACACCTTGCAGCGCCTCGGCGGGGCTCACCTGTTTGCCCAGCTCAGCCAAGGTCCCGCTCTTTGCCTGGTGGACACCCTGCACCCTTGCCCCTTTACTCCTGCCATCATCGGCCCTTCAGCCCCGAAGGCCTGAGAGGGACATGCCACTCCTGAGACTTCCAAGCAGATTGGGCTGGGAATGAAGATGTCTCTGTGTGTGGCAGGAAAAGCCCCCATCCCGGAGCCCTTAGACCTGAGGAGGACGGGCCGCCTGCCCTCCCATCCACCAGCTCCAATCAGAGCGCAGGGCTTTGCCCTTGTCCCTGACCTCCAGAGGAAGGCAATCAGACAGGGAATTTGGAAGGGAGATAACTCATCAAGGAGCCTGCCTGCTCCGCAGAGCATCAAATCAGCTGAGAAATAACAATTGTGTCACCAAAATTAACTCTGCCTTTGCAGCCGGCCACCAAGCAGGGGTGGCCCCCAAGCTCCACAGACCAGCTGAGCTGAGGGCACAGCCTGAGCTGGTCCTCTGAGGGCCTGGCCATAGCCCTGGGACCCTGCCCCCCCCCCCCCCCCCCCCCCCCCCCGCCGCACCGTCCCCCCCATCCACTCCGCCCTACCCTACTCCACCTCCCGACCACCACAGAGATGGCACAGGGCCCTCGTGCATCTCAAAGGAGCAGACCTTGTGCTGTCCTGGAGAGCAGTCCCCTCCCTCCGTGGGCTGACCAGAGCCCTCCGCCAACTTTCCCGGCTGGGCTGCAGGGAGGATGGTGGAATGCTGGGGTGATGCTGCCCCTTAGTGGAGAGGAGCGGGACAGCCTAGGCTCTGGGAAATGGGCGAAAACCAGCAGCTGGGCAGCTACCAGTCTCAGCCAGCGAACCCGGGCCTAAGAGGCCGCCAAACCAGGCCGAGTACGTTTCCCGAAACCCAGAGCAAGAGGGTACGTCTGGGCTTCTGGGCCAACACCCCCTCCTCCACTCCCAGCCTGTTCTTGTATTCCCTCCTACCTAGTTCCCCTCCCTTTCCGCCTCCCTGGCTAGGTGAGGCCCCCTGGAGGCAGTCCTGGCGCGGTGTGACCTGGAGCATTGGCTTTGGTCTGCCACTGCCTCTAACAAGCTGTGTGGCCTTAGGCAAGTAGGTCTACCTCTCTGAGCCCTGTGACCTCACCTGGAACGTGGGCATCCTTAACAGCATGTCCAGTTTGAAAATTTGTGATCAGACTCTCACAGCGCTCCCTAAAATGTTCTTGATCTGTGAGTGATTGCAGGAAGACCTTTTAGAACCTTGGGCTCCGTCCATAGGCCCAGAGCTGGTAGATTCATGGGTCTCAGTTTATCCATCCCTAAGAATGGAAATTGTTTTACCCTCCCCTAGAGCAATGTTTATATACTCATTTTTCAGGAGCAAGAATTAAATGCTCTGAGAGGAGTATTACTTATTAAAATATAGGTTAGATAATGTTTCATTGTTCGTGCTTTCTCAATTTCTAACTCTTTTATTCAACCTTTTTTAAAAAGTGGTTTTCCATAAGAGTACTAACTCATTTCCATGGCTAAGAATTGAGGACACCTGCTCCTTGCTCCTCGAATCCCTTCCCTTTCTTCAAGGGCCAAGCATCTGCCACCAGCACACAGATCTTGGTGACCTGGTGACCAGGCGGACTCCCCCGGTCCCATATAATGAGCAAAACTTTTCTGTCCCCAGATTGCAGAGACCTATGCCTTCCTCCCGCGAGAGGCCGTGACCCGGTTCCTGATGAGCTGCACTGAGTGTCAGAAGAGAATGCACTTTAACTCCAACGGCCTGGAGCCCAAAGGTAGGGGAGGAGGCGGGGGTGCTGGTGGCTCCGGGATGCTGTGCAGGGAGAGGCCCTCCCACCAGGAGGGCCCGCTCCTTGCTGGCACAGACAGAAAAGTGCATGGCCAGCGGTTATCACAATTCCCAGAGGCCAGTGTGGGTCCCTGCCCAAAGAGCCTCATTTTTTTTTTTTGGTTGTTATTTCTTAACTGTAAGAAAAATGTCAAGTTTCCTTGAAAAGCCAATGGTACGTTCCTACTGCCCATCAAGACCCTCTCTCCCACTGATGTTCCTGATGGAAACAGATCATCTCGCCCTCTTCCCTAAGCTCCTTCATTCTTGTCACCCAGACCTCGCCCTGAGCGGTGTCCTCATGGGTCTGGTCGCACTGACCTGTCTGTGAGCTCTCAGGAGACAGGAGCACGCCTCTCGCCACCTGTGCCTTTTTACCCTCGAGCCCCCACACCTACTGGTAGGGGGTCCTCCCTGAGTGTTCCTTCCCTCCCTGCAAACAACCAGGGAATCTGTGGGGATTACTTAGAATTTAAATGCCTGGAGCACTTGTGACCAGCCGAAGTAGGTCCCTTGGACAGATGTCCATGCCCTCCAGCCCTGTCCTCCCCGCTGAGATGCAGTGCGGACCCCCACTTCAGTCCCATCACTACCTCAACCTGAGCATCCCCGGAGGCCCCCAGTGAGTGTGGGGTCCATCTCTTCATGGGCGGCTTTGGCACAGCAAGGTGGACTAGAGCATTCGGCCGCTACAATCATAGCTCTGCCCCGAGAGGTGGTGGCCAGGTGGGCAGTTTGTCAGGGCTTCCAGGCTGCTCCTGGACCTCAGGCTGTACAGGTGGAAGTCAGTGGGTGCTTCTTGCCTGAGGATGGGAACAGAAGGGCCAGCCGTGCGCTTGGGTGGTCCTTCAGTGGTGTCCACCGCTTCTGAGGAAGGAAATATCAACAAAGCTCAAGTAGATGACGACAAAGAAATCATAGCGTAGGTGTCAGGTGGGGTGTTTTTCTGTTTTGTTTTGTTTGGTTTGGTTTTGTCATGGGGTTTTTGGTGGTCTCCAATGCCCGTGAGTGACTGACGCCAGCTGACAGACCAGATCCGGAAGCCTTCCGATCTGTGGGGTCATCAGGCCACGGGCTGCTTCATTGGGTACATGGGTGGCTTCTAAAGCCTGTGGGATGGGAACAAGTGTGGCTCATACCTCGTAAATGCCGGGTTCCTGGTTTAAGAGCAGAGCCCCCCAGGCCACACTTGGTGGGTTTGAATCCCAGCTCTGCCACTCAGCAGCGGTGTGTCCCGAACAAGCGATTTCAGCTCTCTGAGTCTCAGTTCCCTCATCCATGGGTAGAGTTAATCGTGGTGCCTACTTCAGGGGACCCCTGGGGTTTGAGGGTTCATCCCCATACCTGGCACGGGGCTCACGCAGGAGGAGGGAGCTGGGGCTGTTGCAAGGCCGCCAATGCCTCGGAGCGCCCCCCCCCAACCCCCCCAGCCCTGGGCCAAGAGGGTATTTGGTATCTGGTGCTTGCAAATAGGCCAGGAGGGCTTTCCCTGCCGCACCCCCACCCTGTCAGGGTCTGGGTCCCCAGGCGCGTGCCCTGCTGGTGGCTGCCTGTCCCTTCCTGTTCTGGCCTAACCGTTTCCATAGCAACTGGCGGAGTCAGACACTAAAGCGCTAGCCTAGAGGAACAGAGGCGAGGCCACGAGGGGCCTGCTTTGTGGGCTGCTCTGGGGTGTCCGCAGGTTCCCTCTGTTGTGCTGCTGCCGGGGTGGAGGACGACTGTCACCTCCCCCACTCCTCGGTGATGGTGGCCAGGTCTCTGGGGCGGCAGCTCCACTCCTCCTCATCCATGGGCTCTGGCCTGGCTGGGAGGCAGCCTGTCTCTTTTCTGAGCTGCCCCCAATCTATCGTTCCTGCCCCGCCCAGGAGAAGGAGGAGGAGGAGGATGGGAGGGATTTGGTTGGGGAGGGGAGTGGGGGGCACAGAGAGAGTGAGAGAGAGAGAGAGGGAGAGAGAGAGAGAATGTGAACACTCCCGCCAGGAGGGAGCCTCCTGGAATTTCAACCAGCTCTGTGGGCTCTGCACAGGAACCTCTCTTTCCAGGGTTTTGCTCCAGGCCGGTTATGGCCGGAGAGCAGGCAGTGCAAAGCTTGCGGGGACCGTCCTTGCTGGCGGCAGACAGAATGCTGCTTCTCGGGCCCCAGGCGCACAGCTTCCCGCACAAGGGAGGAGGAGACACTGAGGGAGCTGGAGACAGTGTGGCCCATGGCGAAGTACGGTGGGGGGCATCCAGCGGGCCTGGCTGTGGCGCCTGGTTGCTCCTGAGTGTCCCATGGTAGGCTGGGGACCTCTCTTCATAATAGCTTCCACGATCCCATGAGGGATCTGTCCCAGCTTGTAGCTGAGGAAATGAGGCACGGACGAGTGTCATGGTGAAATCAGTTGTCCAAGCTCCTCCAGAAGGCAGGAGAACTTACTTTATCATCAGCAAAATGGGAGGAATGCCTGCCTCTCGGAGTTGAATTAAAGGAGCCCATTCTGGAGGGTGCCTGGTGCAGCAGGCACGTGGGAAACACCAGCCTGTTTCCCCCTGCCCTCTGTGCCCGGTGTCCAGACACAAGAATGCCAGTGTTCAGGGGGCTCCACAGGGAGACAGCTGATCAACCACCCCACCTAGGTGAACACCCTGGGTACACAACCTGGATGCTGGGCAAAAAGGAAGCGCTTGCTTTCTGGAAGCTGCTAGTGGAGAGCCTCAGAGTCTAAAAGGCTCCCCTGTCTGCTTAATGGCCACAGGCATTAGCTGCCTGGGCTACCCTCGCCAGCTGGCAGGGTGTCCCTTCCCCTACCCGAGCTGAGAGCTTGCAGATCTGATCTCCTCCCACCGTACTGGCCTCTCAGGGTGCGGCCATACTGCTTGCTCTTTCCTAGGCACCCCTGCCCATGCCAGCCGCCCCCCTCCTTTTTCTGCTCCAGGCCCCAGACCCCGGCCCGTGTTCCTGTCCCAGGAAGGGGGGGGGCAGGAGGGGGACAGGGAACAGGATGGAGACTTCTCGAGGGGCTGTTGGGAAAATGCCTGGCTTCCTGGCCTCGTGTTAAAAAGAAAGAGAGGAAGCAAAGCAGCCTCCCCTGCTCAGCAGTTTGTCCCCGGCGGAGCGTGGGGGCCTGGACAGTCCCGTGCCCTCCCCCAGCGCCAGAGCAGAAACAAAGGAGGCTGCTGAGGATCAGGAAGTCCAAGGATGGGAAATTCCAGGGCCTCCCGGCTCCACGCTCCTTTTCCACAGCCCTGAGTGAGTCCAGGCATAGAGAGCACAGAGGGTGAGAACCGGGTGTGCCCTCAGACCAGCCCTAGCTCCTGGGGAAAGGGGCCTCTGCAGACACACTCCGGTTCCTCTGAGGTGACAAAATATTAATTGCGTGGCAACAAACCAGGATTAGCAGTGGGCCACCCATTTATCTACAGCAGGGACCCTCCCTCGGAGACAGAAACGTCCACCCCGGTGGTGGTTCCTTCGCACCAGGCCCAGACTGCTCTGTCTGCTTCCAACCCCCTCTGTGCCTAGCCCTCCAGATCCTGTCCTCCCCTCAGGTGACCCCATTCCAGTTGCTTCCTTTGCCCCCGCAGTCTTTCCCATGCCAGCCAGGTTGCTGGCCTGGCCTGGCCCAGTTTTCATACTCGCTTGCTGTACAACACGGGGAGGATACCGAATCTGTAAGATGGGGGTACTAATACTAGTACCCGCCTCCTGGAGCAGGAGGGTCTGTGTGGAACTCCTGAGGAGTGCTGAGTAGCAGCTGGCTGGGTGATTGAACACTGTTCTGATCCTTTCTCCGCAAAGCCCTCTTGAGCTATTCCAGAGCCCTCTGAGTTCTTCCTCCCCTGAGCTCTAATAGACTGGCCATCAGTTCCCCCAGCTGAGAGCATGGCTTATGCCTACAGGGTCCCCCCACCTGCCCCACCCTGAATGCACACACAGCAGTGCTCCTTCAATACTTGCTGGTCTGCTGACTCATATCCCCAGGACAGAGGCTTCCTAGCACCCCCTGAGCCAGCCCCAGTCCCCGCATCTGTTCTGTTTCCAGACCTGAACACCCCCACAGGCTGGTGGCTCTCATGGCTCCTCTGGGCCCTCCTGATGCCCACACACTTGAACAACCAGCCCCACCTGGGAGACTGGCCACTGGCCCTGGGAGCCACGGGGGTCCCTGGACTGAGTTCTTCCATTCTGTAGGTGAAAGCTCCAGAGAACTGCCCCCATGTGCTCTACCTAGAGGGGTGAGGCCCGCTGCCTCCCCTGAAGCTTGCCTTGATGGGTGCATTCCATTGGAGCCCAGCAGTGGAGGTCAGCGCTTGGCTTGGCATGGCTCCAGATGCCCCATCACTGATTATTTCCAAGGCCCGTAAACCCAGGGCTAGCTCTTGGGCTGGTTTCGGTTGTCCTTGGCAAAGAGTGTTGAGACATCTCTTTGAGAGGTTCCTCTGCCTCTCTCCCCAGCCACTTGCTGGATCATGGCGGCCCTGTGACCCCTGCGAACTCCCACCGCCCCAGCGCAGCTCAGGCATGGCCGCTGTGTGTGTTGACCATAGCGGGGGCCGGCCTGTCTTCACAGAGCCCGGGGAAGCCGCTGCTAACCACCTTAGCTCTTGCCCAGCCTGGCATGCGTCTGTCCTGTGAGCACAGGCCCCCTCAGGGCTCCTGCTGGCCCCTGTTCCTCACCTCCTTTCTACCAAGCGGATCCTCTTCACGGGAGCCGAACCTCCAGAACCCCGGGGCTCCCCACGGCCCCAAAACCTAGGGTTCTCACGCGGTCCCACCACCAGCTCCCAGCACCTTCCCTCACCTGGAATGCCCCCCGCCCGCCGGAACTCTCACTTCTGGAGGCGCAGGCAGGAGCATTTCACCGCACCTGGGCCTCAGTATATGTGTGTGTGTGTGTCTGCGTCTGTGTCTGTGTCTGTGTGTGTGTGCGCGCACTCAGGGGAGCCTGGCTCCTGGTCTCGAGCCCTCCCAGCTCGCCTCTGGGCGCCAGAGGTGGTTTCAGAGCTGTGGACATGCTGGGGTGGGAACAGGCCAAGGAAGATTCCTTTTCCACCCTGAGAGGGCCGTACTAGCCGTTGCTTTTTTCTTTCCTAAACCAAGCTGTACCTGGCTTTTTTTTTTTTTTTTTAAGATTTTATTTATTTATTTGACACAGAGAGAGAGCGTACAAGCAGGCAAAGAGGCAGGTGGGGAGGAGGGGGAGGGGAAGCAGGCTCCCTGCTGAGCCGAGAGCCTCATGCGGGGCTCAATCCCAGGACCCCAAGATCATGACCTGAGCTGAAGGCAGAGGCTTAACCCACTGAGCCACCCAGGTGCCCCTGTACCTGGCTTTATTAAAGATACTTGCTCATAAGCAGTCGTGGCATTTAGGCGGGCCAGGGGTGGCCGGCCTCCGTGGATGACCAGACACGGAGAGTCACCATGACACTCAATGAGGCCTTCCTTTGTGGCTCTGACCAGCCATCCTTAGGGCGAGGGTGGCCCTGCCTGCAGCTTTTCACCAGACAGCCATGTCTCTGAGGAAATGAAACGGAAATGGCCGAATTCTCCGTCTGAAGATGCAGCATCTGAAAACAGGAACCAGGGCCCTGTTGAGTGACACCATCTCAGTGTGGTTGCTCAAATGTCTGCCTCACACATGCTTCCAGCCCCGTCGCTCTCGGGCAGGAGGCAGGTCCCAGCATGCCCCTGGGTTCCAGGAGGTCAAGTCTGGGCTGAGGGCGGGGCGGCAAGAAGAGGACCCAAGGCCACGGAAACTGATTTTAGTTCCCTCCGTGCCAGGCGTCTGGGCAAAGGTGCCAGTGGGCAGCCGGGCCAGATCCCTCTGCCACAGAACCAAGAGGAAATCTCTATTTAAAAAAAAAAAAAAGTTCAGCCCATTTTAAGCCGGTTTCTGAGATATTAGTGACCTTTAGTTCTTCCTCGAAGAATTAAAATCTTCCTTCAAGAACACAAAAACTCTGAGTGTGACAACACAGATTTAAAAAGCAAAACATAGTTCTGCATTTTCTTTTTTTTTTTTTAAGATTTTATTTATTCATTTGACAGAGATCACAAGTAGGCAGAGAGGCAGACAGAGAGAGAGGGGGAAGCAGGCTCCCTGCTGAGCAGAGAGCCCCATGCAAGGCTCAATCACAGGACCCTGAGATCATGACCTGAGCCAAAGGCAGAACCCAGGCGCCCCTAGTTCTGCATTTTCATACAACTTGGTAAGAAATGTTATTCAAGCTGGATGATTCCCAGAAGTAGAGCACCTCAAAAGGACACCCCTTAGTCCCCCAGATGCGGTCTACACGGACTCTATTTTCTGGGCTGTTTTATCCATATCAAGCTGGGGACTCCCTTGTCCCTTTTGCGTAGCTTCACCCCCTTGTTTGAAGGGGCTTTTCTTTTTTATTGTTAAACATTTATAACACAGAACTTGTCATTTTAATAGTTTTTAAGTATACAGTCGGTGACATTATTTATATTCACACCGTTGGGCAACCATTCCCGCTGTGTTTCCAAAACATTTTCACCACCCCAAACAGAAACCATGTATCCATGAGGCAATAACTTGCCATTCCCAAGCCCCAGTCCCTAATAACCTCTGTCCCACTTTCTGTCTCAGTGAGTCTGCCTAGTCTAGATAATTCCATCCAAGTGCAAGCCTATGGTACTTGCCCTTTTGCGTCTGGCTTCTTTCACACGGCATAGTGTTTTCAAGGTCACAGGGACCTTCCTGGCCTGGCCTCTGGCTCCTCCACCGGGGCCCCGGCACCCGGTTGCCCTTCAGCCCATCTCTCCAGCCCGGTGGTGATGGGGGAGGACAGGCACTGGCCAGTCCAGAAGTCGCTCCTGCTTCTCCTTCTCGGACTGCTCAAATCCCGGCCCTTGAACAGAACTAGGCACCAGGGGGAGCTTTGGGCGAAAAGCCTGGAGTCTTGGAGGCAGAAAGAGGAGGCCAGAGAACAGGTAACCAAGACTCTTCCCCAGGCAGAGGGTGAAGCAGGGTTAAGCGACTAATGGACCAAATGAGGCCCCACTCAGGGTGACAGACCCCAGCAGGATACTCCAGCGTTTTGAGATTGGTCATCTGAAGGCATCTGAAGAGGAAGCTGCAAGGGGGTGTGTGTGACAGGCTCCCTTTTAATCATGCTCCCCATCCTCCTTGATTTATTCCTGTGCCATTTTAGTCTGTCCCTGGGGGCACCTGCAGGGGCAGCTCAGGTGCAGAACACAATGGCTGGGTAGTGTCCACTGCGGCAGCCTCTGCAGAAGGCAGCTTAGCCGGAGGTTTTAAGTCATGGAACAGTCCTACTCGTTGACCCATGAATTCCATTTTTGGGAGTGTCTAAAAAGGATACAATCAGGGGCACCTGGGTGGCTCAGTCGGTCAAGTGTCTAACTCTTGGTTTCGGCTCAGGTCATGATCTTGGGGTCATGAGATCGAGCCCCACATCAGGCTCTACACTCAGTGCAGAATCTGCTTGAGATTCTGTCTCCCTCTCCCTCTGCCCCTCCTGCCTCTTGCACGCATGCCCGTGCCATAAATAAATAAATAAATAAATAAATAAATAAAATCTTTACAAAGGACACAATCAGAAATACACAAATATTCATAGATGAAGATGTTCCCTTTAGTATTGTTTACAATAGCCCCCAACAGGAAACAACCTAAACAGCCAGTTGCAAGTGAATGACTTAAAATAAATTATGATAAAATAGTACACAGCTATGAAAATGCTATCTGCAAAGAAAAACAAGATTTTTGATGGTGGGTGAAATGACTATGATGATGTTAAGAAAAAAAAGTTTTTTTTAAGCGGACTACGTAATTTTCTGTATGCATTTTAATATCAAGTACCCAAGGAAGAGAAATCAAAGGAAAGAAAAAACAAACAGAAGCATATGCCAAGCTGCCTGGTGCTGTGATTGGGGCTTACTTTGATCTTCAGGACAAGAAAGCAATAAATGGGAGGACCAGGCCTCCTCTCCATGTGATTAAGGAGGGACCAGAATTTGGGAGATGGGCGCTGGAGGCCCAGGCCAGACCCATGAGCCATATGGTACCCGCCCGTGCTTTTGGGAGGGAGATGGGGTCAGGTGGTGGTGGCATGTGTGCCGCAGGAAGCCGGCTCAGACTGGGGTTGGAAGCATGGACGCCTTCGAGGGCCTGGCAAAAGTATAGTACTCACGTGAAAATGGGCATAGGAAAGGAGAGCTCCTGCCCCATCTGCAAGAAGGAGCTGTGGCAGAGCCGCACTGGTGGGTGGCCTCATGGCCACATGGGCCCTGGGTGACCAGAACTTCCATTTCTCAAAGCAGCCAAATATTCCGGAATTTTAACCTGTGCACTCTTCCCAAACACCAGCACCCCACTGCAACCTCTCCTCAGTGCCTTTGGTCCCCATCCACGGGCCAGATGTGGTAGCTGAGCCGCCAGCTTGTGAGCTCAGGCCTGTTCCTTCCTCTTCCTCAGGCTCTGTGCTCTCTGTGTGGGTGACAGGGTGTGGTACCTGCCAGGGGGCCTGGGCACAGACTCAAAGTGGCTTCCTTTTGTTCTTTCTACCAGAAAACGAGCCTCCCTCTCCCCTGGTCTCCGGGATCATCGATTACAACATGCCCCTTACCTCCACGTACCTGAAGCAGATGAAGTTGCGAGTGATGAACTCCCAGGAACAGGTAAGGCGCCGTGTTCCCTCACCCGGCCCAGAAGCATGCTAACCCGCCTGGATGTGGTTGGTTCTTTCCAAGGTGTGGGGCCACAGTGTGTGTAAACACACTGGGAATCAAAGAGGCCCTTATCTGGTGATCTGGGCCTTGCCATCCAGGCTGAGAGGAGAGAAAGAATGTGTTCCTGGTTAGGGGGTCAGCTGGGCTGACCGCCCTATGAGGTCTTCAGTGAAACCCGGGAAGCTCATGCTTCTCTGAACTCTCCCCAAGGGCATGGAGGGTGTGCCTGAGCTGTAGACCTTGGCTCTTCGGTTGTTCTCTCTCTGCTTTGCCATTTGTCTGCAATGTCGCTCACCTCTTTCCCCCAGGGAGGTGAGAGAGGGGCCCTGGCTGCTTGCCTGTGGCCTCTGGGGGCCCAGGCAGGCCAGAAGGATGGGCTTTGGAGGGTGGCCTGCATGAGATAAGGCCCTGGGGCCCCCTGGCTGTCCAAGACTCCCAGCTATAGATTGCCAAGTGCTGTCAGGCACCATGGAAACAGGCTATGAAAAGAAAACCACTCTTGCCTGCCTCCCCACACAGTCTACCTTCTAGCTCTTTGCAGAGCAAGTAGCATGACTGTCCTTTAAGGAAGGACTAGGTGAATGCCACCCCCTCCCTCCACCACCGCCTAAAACCAGGGTCAGAATTTCTTATCTCCCGCTTCAGATTTTCTCATCTGTTGTGACATATGAATCTGCCGTATCTTGGAGGCCTACCTAGGGGAATGGGTCTTCCGCCCCCCTCCCCCAACTAACTGTCTGACTCCCAGCCCTGGGTGCATGCTGTCCCACATACTGCCGGTCTCCTTGACAACCCGAGCATGTGCACGCGGTGGGCGTGGACACCACAGCCAGCTCCGAGGTGAAGTAACGGGATGCGTCCAGGTAGCATCTGGGACTGTGGCTCTCAGTTCGAGGACTGGAGCTGGCTGGCTTGAACATGCCCGGTTCCGCCCTCCGCTAAGCAAGGAGGGGTGGTGTGTCCTCCCATCCCCTCACCTCAGCTGCTAAGGGTTGAAGGAAGTAAGCTTTTGTTCGGGATGGTAGAGTCATTTGTGTCTCTGTGTCTCCTACGTCTTCTCACCTGAGGTGGTCTATTCTATGACGGTTACACCCCTAAGAGTCGTCACGTGATCAAACATAATGCGAGTGACGAAGATGGCGTGGGGGTCTCTAACTCACGGCGGGAAGATTGTTTCTGTGCAGGAACGTCGGTAATAAGGGTGCTTTCGCTACTAGTTATAAACTCTGAACACCGCTGTGCACGTTCAGCCTGAGACGTCTGACTCCCGTTCCAGAGTCATTTCTTTTCCTATAACCGTCCACACGGTCATGAGCACCTGGCTTCTCACACATTCTTATCACCATTCTCATCTGTCACGGGGAAGTGTGGAGCTGCTTGAACAGCTGGTCGTACAGCCTCACGGCTCTTTCTTTCCTACAAAATGGCGCTAGATCCATATCACCCCCAGAACCAGTAGTGGTCCGTGTAGCCCATGTTGTGATCCCTCATTACTGGATCCTGTTGTAGTTTGTCTTGTTGTACAAATTCTCACTGTCTGTGGGGAATTAAAACTATGGGTTAGGTACATTGGCAAGGATTCAGTCATTCGGCAAATATTTATGGAGCCCTACTCCATGAGCCAGGCTCTAGGGATGAACAAGTCTTAGGAACTACTGTTACTGGTTCTTCTTATGATTTGGGGGAAACAGACACTAATGAAAAAAAAAACAAACCCACACACCAATGCCCAGCTCAGAGCAAGTAACAATGAACAGGTGGGGGAAAGATGAGTCTGTCATCGCAGTGCAGCTGTGATGAGGGCCATGCGTTAGGACACATGGTGCTATAAGTACTCTTAGATGGGCATGAGGGATGAGTCAAAGCAGGGCTTTGCCTCAGAAAGAGACACATGAGCTGAGATGGAGGTCTGAAGGGAAGAGCTCCAGGCTAAGGAAACAGCTTATGCAAAGGCCCTGTGGCTCAAGGAAGGATAGTACCCCTGAGAATCAGACAGGCTGATATGGCTGGTGCAGAGAGTGTGAGGTATTCTGTTGTTGAAGGAAAGGGGAGAAGACACACGTGCTGGGCAAAGAAGCACTCGATGAGTATCTGTGAATGAACCGAAGTTCATGAATCAAGATGGGTGAATTACCCTGCTGAGGTTTGGGCTACTCAAAGAGGAAAGGCAGATTGTGGGAAGGTGCTTTTCCCCAGGGGACTCTGAGAGTCCAGCCAGGGCTGGAGGTGAGAGTGGGTATCTCAGAGTCAACTGTGTCTTCCTCGCCTTCATTCATAGTTTCCCTGCAGACCTGCCTTGCGCACAACGGGCAGGAGAACCAGCATCGCACCTTGCACATGTGGCCTTTCATCTGCCAGTCTCCAGCACTTGCCACATGGCCCTGAGCTGTCCAGGCCTCGGTCCCTCAGGCAGTCCCTGTTCTATAGCTGGGCACGTGGCAAAGCAAGAGATCCCAGTGCTCATCCAATTATTTCTATACAGGAGCAGATAAGGGCCAAGGACCCAGAGGTCTCAGATTCTTCAGCTTGAGTTGGAACGAAAAATACATATATCTGAAGTGGTAGTTTCTCCCCTGCAGAGAAGTCAGAGTTGGGCTTCCCTTGGGGTCCAGGAATGGCCCTGCTGTACAGACACAGCCAGGGGCCCAGCTCTGCCACTATCAAACTCTGTGTGCTGACGAGGCTCTGAAAGTGGCTTCGTTTCCTGAAGCATCCCTCTGACCCCGAAATGCTGACAGAGGACACCTGTCGTGTTTGCAAACCACTCATGCAGGCCATATGGAAAATAAACCCAATTCTAAAGGAACAGAAGCTGGGATAAGTGATATTTTATTAATGCCAGACAAAGCTCTATATCTAAAGAGTCTGGGTGAGAAAAATCCCAAAAATTCATTTTTTCCAGGACGAGATAGCCTGGGGACAAATAGTAAGGCAAACAGAACTGGACAGGGGTGGGGGGAGCGTTGACACGTGAACCAGACAGAACCATGTTACTTGTCCAGTTGTGTCAAATGAATATGCGAGGAAACGGGCCCTTCTCCACAGAGGACATTAGGTATTATGAAAATCAATAATATTCACACAAAGAAAAAAGATTCTTTTTGAGGGCTGATTCAATGGAGTAAATATTTATAGTATCCTCAATATGCAAGACATGGGGGGTGGTCAGAATCCAGCCTCCCAGCACCTCCCTGCAAGACACAGAGCCCAGGAGTTATCATCACCTTGGCCACCCTGAGCTGAACATAGGGGAGTGTAGTCCGATAAACTCTTTCTTCCCCCTTTCTTGGGAAAATTCTTAAAAGACATAAAATGGAAATCACATTTAGTTGTACCAAGGAACGTATGAGGAATACATTTTCTTGGGGGCAGGGTAGGAAGACTTGATGAGACGTGGACTGCCTTGGAGAATGCTCTGTAGCGTTCCCTGATAACATGACGTCCCAGGGAGGGGTGCCGCCCTCACAGGGCCGGAGGCAGCCGTCAGGGTCCCCTGCGGCGGCTGAGCTGCCCAGTCCCCCTATAGGGCTGTGGGTAAGGTGCACCAAAGAGGAGGGCGAGGGTCTCTTCTCTGCGTGGCCACTGGGTTTTTGTTTTGTTTTGTTTTGTTTCTGCATAACTTGGTTTTCTTTTCTTATTTCTTTGAATTACATAGGTAAAACCTGGTCACAGTAGCCAAAAGCAAAATCATGGTGATAAAAATCACCATCATCTGACCACTCAGGTCACTGTGAATATTTTGGGGTCCAGCCTTCCGGACTATTGAATAGATAGGGGATTATCCTCTACAAACAACCTGCTTTGCTTTTCGAGTGCTGATTTTCTGTATTATCAGAGCCTCTTTACCCTCTGGGCCTAGATGTTTCTACCTAGCAAATAAGCTGGTTATATAATGTTCCTGTGATTCACTTGCTCCTGCACCCATATCCACCCACCCATCCACCCACCCATCCACCCATCCATCCATCCTTCTACCCATTGCTCACCATGGCCAGGCACGGTTGCAGGTGCTAAGGAGATAGGGATGAACGGAAGTGAGTCTGTGCCCTGCCTGCCCTCACAGTTCAATGACAGAAACAAGGAAAACCGAAATCAACACTCCGGGGTCTTAGAGGAAGAACAGAGGAAGGACAGGGAGGTCAGCTGGGTGGGTGCTGTTGTAGGCACTGGGTTATTATTAATTAGGCACCTGTTCTGGGGCACCTGGGTGACTCAGTCGGTTACTCGTCCAACTCTTAAACCCGCTTAAGATTCTCTCTCTCACTCTCCCTCTGCTCTCCCCCCACCCTTTCCCTCTCTAAAATAAATAAGTAAATAAAATTTGGCCCCTGTTCCGGGTGGAGCGCGTCACACCCTTTACCCCTTCCCCTCACAGCTCTGCAAAGTCCCATTGTCCTCATTTGGCGGATCCCAAAGCCAAGGCTCAGAAGGGTTCAGCACTTGCTCAAGGTCAACAACTAGCGTGAATGAAACTCAGATCCCTCCCATCCCCGAACCTGTGCACCCGCAGGGCCCCAAGCCCTGTTTCTCTCCACATCCCCGAACGAGGGTGTGCTGATGAGGATCTGGAGCAGATGGGCTGCCCATGGGGTTGGTGGAGGGAAAACGTCCTTGGCGGAGATGCTGACAGAGCACATCAAGGGTTTTGTTTGGCCTGGGAACTGGGACCTACCGTAAATATATGATGCTTAAGGAAATACCGCAAGAGGAATTTGGCGGGGGTTGGGGGTTGGGGAGGTGAGGGGCTGGGGTTGGGAGGGGGGTCACCCCTACCTTGCGAGAATGTTCAGTGATCTGCAGGGGTACACATATAATTTGATATGCATATTATGGGTGATGTTATCCTGATCTTTCCTGAGATCCGCATGTTTGAATCAAGACCCTAACATAGAAATCATATCCAGATCCGGAAAGAGAGAGACAAATCATCTATACTCCTTCCCCTGGCA